GCCATAGAAAGGCCTCTGGGAGTTTGATTTTTACTTTCTCGCTCCCATAGGGTAGAGAGGAAGTATTGTCATCCTCCAAGAAAAAAAAAAAAAAAAAAAAGTTGAAATTTCATCATTTCTAGACGTTTGAAGGTCCCAGGAGTAAAAATAACCATACTTGAAAAAATGTGTGTCCGTCCGTGTGGCGTCCCCCAAATCTGTGTACAGCGATATCTCAGAATCTATCTGTTCGATTTCATTCAAAATTGGCACGGGACACCATATCTATGGTCTCCTTATGCACGTCCAACGATTTTGAGGTACGCTAAAATTTGGGGGGGCTACGCTCAATTGTCCATTTTTAGCAAAATCACACGGAAAGCTCATTTTGAAAGACTGTAAATTTTGAAAAATGGCTTTAATTCTTTAAAAATGGGCATCAAGCACATCACCTGGGTCATTAATTTAAGTTCCAAAAAGATCTTTGCACTAAACTCAAAATTCAAGGGATTACGAGGCCCAAAAGTAGGGCACTTTGCTCCGCTACATTAGACAAACAACTCATTTTCAAAGACTGTAAATTTGAAAAAAAATGCCTTTCATTTCTTCGAAAGTTGGCATAAGAGCACCACCTGGTTCAATAATGTAAGTTCCTATGAGGTCTTTGGACTAAACTAAAAATTGAAGGGTTGCGCGTCATATGGCGAGGAGAGCACTTCGGTCACACGGAGAGCTCATGGACTGTAGATTTTGAAAAAAATGCCTTTAATTCTTTGAAAGTTGGCTCAAAAGCACCATCTGAGTCATTGATTTAAGTTCCTAAAGGATTCTTGGACTAATCTCATAATTGCAGAGGGGCCGATAGGAGACGCTCAATTCTCTGATAAATGAGTCGGAACGCTTCTAGATAATAGCAGCAAACGCTTTGAGTCAGGTGAAACCTAGGAATTCAAATGCATAATATAATGCATCATATACTATTTCCAAAATTACTCCGTAGGTATACACAAAGCAAAATTAGACAACTAATTAGGTACATACTCACATTACAAAGGTACAATGAATCATCAAGCTAACGCCAAGAACTGACACTTAGATCTTTATTAAAAACTAATATGTTTGTTGTTAATGAATTTAGAATCCCGGCAGATTCCATCATTTGCGGTTCATTTTTACGAGGTACTAAGCACAAATATAATATAATAATTCGGCACAAATATGACTGATTTAATGCTTGTTAATAAAGGAGGTTATAATCAGAGTTATAATTGTTATAACCTGTTTGTTGACGTTTGTCGACAGCAGCAAGGAGATCGCGCGCAGCGCTCTCTATTGTTTTCGCTTTGAATTACGGGAATACGCGGTAAGGAGATGGCGCTCCTGGCGGGCAAGTGGTGAACCTTCCAGCAGGTAGATTCGCCCGCCAAATTTAAAATTTGGGAGATGCTAAGCGAAAACCGTTTAGTTTTAAGACAATTTGAACATCGAATAGTCATTCTACCCATTCAAGTAGATATTTGATGGCTTTTGACCGTGCTTAAGGAGAGATTATAATATAAAATCGTATCTGAAGTATGATGTCAATGAATCTAATGGATCCTAATGAATCGTAGAAAAGCTAAGATTTTTACGGATCGCCATCTTTGACAGGAGACTTTGTTAATCAATTACATATTTAATTGAAGATGCCTCATAAAATCAACAAGTCGAGTCCGAATATATGAATTCATCACATATCGCGAAGACATTTACAATAAAGTTCAGTGGTTTGAATAAAAATTTCATAACTATTATCCTGTGATCAAAATTTCGATCAAACTTTATGATTTTGTAAAATTGGCAGTATTTTTCTAAATATTCCAGTAAAAGTGTCTATGCCGGCGCGAAGCGCCGGCTCGAGCGAGAAAGTCCCGTGCGGTCTCCGCACCAATCCGCTAAGCGGATGGGGGGGCGAAGCCCCCCCAATGCCGGCGCGTAGCGCCGGTACGCGGCGCGAAGCGCCGCGCATAAATTGGCCTGAGGCCAATTTTTTTTTTAAAATACACATACGGTGTCATGTGAGGTGTCAATTCCTATGTAATTTTGGTCATAGATTTCAGATATGAAGTCCAAAAAATCCCCCGGTCAAAAAGGGGGCACCCCAAATCCAAGATGGCAGCCAATTTTGAAAACCAAGAGGGTGAATTTTTGAAATGTTTACTTGACATCCCTAGTAAAATTGAATCAACTTGACGTCAGGCTATGTTTCATAAACTACCCTGAGTCAGACTAATTCAGGCTGATATCAGTTTGACTCAGCAGCCTGATTGTTGAAATTTTTTGTTTGTGGGGACGACATAGATGACATAGGTTAAAAGGCGGAACGTGATTGGTCGGCTATGTCTTATCGCTGCTTTGTTGTGCTCTTGTCAGGTGGAATGGGCAACATACTGTCAGAAGAGGCGCCGTTAGCTTGTCGTGAGTTCAAACCGACATAGCCACGACCAAGCAGCGATAAGACATAGCCGACCAATCACGCTCCGTCTTTTAACGTATGTTATCCATTTCGTCCCGACAAACAAAAAATTTCAACAATGAGGCTGCAGGGTAGTTTATGAAACATAGCCTGACGTTAGCTTGATTCACTTTTATTAGGGATGTCATGTAAACATTTCAAAAATTCACCCTCCTGCCTTTCCAATCTGGCCGCCATCTTTGCATTTGGAGCTATCCTTTTGACTTGAGGGCTTTTCTGGCTTCATAAATGAAATCTACGACCAATATTACACAAGATATGATACCTCTCTTGCCTTATCACGCGAACTTTTTAAAAATCCAACCTCTTGTCTTTCAAAATTGGCTGCCATCTTGGATTTGGGGTACCCCCTTTTGACCAGGGAACTTTTTTGACTTCATATCTGAAATCTATGACCAAAATTACATAGGAATTGACACCTCACATGACACCGTATGTGTATTTTAAAAAAAAATCAAACTCCCAGAGGCCTTTCTATGGCCACCGTTTAGAAATTTAGGCAATGGGGGGGGGGTGTCTCGGGATCGAACCGTGGTAAACTTTTGGTATGTTGTTCAATAGGACCTACTGAAGACGTTTACATAGGAAAAGTTTGTTAAGCAATTTGTTCCGGGTTAACCCTCTTTTTTTCGTATTTCTCCTTGACTAACCTCCCAAAAACCTGAAAGTCGTGGATTTAAGGATATGAATTTTTGGCAATATGCACGAATACTGGCACTTGATTGACTAAAAATGTATAGGATATGTTAGCAAAATCGCATTCCCTCAAAAACGGCAGAACTACAGATTTCGCGGTTTGTTATTCCTCAGTCAGTAGGCCTTCTAGTTGACATTTCCGCAAAAATATCGCGGGTGGTATGTTGACCGCATTAAAAGTGTTTAAAACGTACCGTGTCCTTTTGGGTCCTGAGTGATCAACGTATGGACGTGTCCACACTCTCCCTGTCTTGGTGCTCTGATGCAGATTGTGAAGTTAGGAGTTAGTCCGGTCAAATTATGGTCATAGATTTCAGATATGAAGTCAAAAAAGTTCCCCGGTCAAAAGGGGGTACCCCAAATCCAAGATGGCGGCCAATTTTGAAAGACAAGAGGTTGGATTTTTAAAAAGTTCGCGTGATAAGGCAAGAGAGGTATCATATCTTGTGTAATATTGGTCGTAGATTTCATTTATGAAGCCAGAAAAGCCCTCAAGTCAAAAGGATAGCTCCAAATGCAAAGATGGCGGCCAGATTGGAAAGGCAGGAGGGTGAATTTTTGAAATGTTTACATGACATCCCTAATAGAAGTGAATCAAGCTAACGTCAGGCTATGTTTCATAAACTACCCTGCAGCCTCATTGTTGAAATTTTTTGTTTGTCGGGACGAAATGGATAACATACGTTAAAAGACGGAGCGTGATTGGTCGGCTATGTCTTATCGCTGCTTGGTCGTGGCTATGTCGGTTTGAACTCACGACAAGCTAACGGCGCCTCTTCTGACAGTATGTTGCCCATTCCACCTGACAAGAGCACAACAAAGCAGCGATAAGACATAGCCGACCAATCACGTTCCGCCTTTTAACCTATGTCATCTATGTCGTCCCCACAAACAAAAAATTTCAACAATCAGGCTGCTGAGTCAAACTGATGTCAGCCTGAATTAGTCTGACTCAGGGTAGTTTATGAAACATAGCCTGACGTCAAGTTGATTCAATTTTACTAGGGATGTCAAGTAAACATTTCAAAAATTCACCCTCTTGGTTTTCAAAATTGGCTGCCATCTTGGATTTGGGGTGCCCCCTTTTGACCGAGGGATTTTTTGGACTTCATATCTGAAATCTATGACCAAAATTACATAGGAATTGACACCTCACATGACACCGTATGCGTATTTTAAAAAAAAAATCAAACTCCCAGAGGCCTTTCCATGGCCACCGTTTTGAAATTTAGGCAATGGGGGGGGGNGGGGGGGGGGGGGGGGTGTCTCGGGATACCGTGGTAAACTTTTGGTATGTTGTTCAATAGGACCTACTGAGCACGTTTACATAGGAAAAGTTTGTTAAGCAATTTGTTATGGGTTAACCCTCTTTTTTTCGGATTTCTCCTTGACTAATCTCCCAAAAACCTGAAAGTCGTGGATTTAAGGATATGAATTTTTGGCAATATGCATGAATAGCTATCTACTGGCACTTGATTGACTAAAAATGTAGAGGATATGCATTTACGAGCCACAAAAACAGCCTAATTTGACTTTTTCAGCGCCTTGATCCGAAATTCCCGCCAAAAAAGCGAAAAATCGCATTCTCTCAAAAACGGCCAAACTATAGATTTCGCGGTTTGTTATTCCTCAGTCAGTGGGCCTTCTAGTTAACATTTCCGCAAAAAAATCGCGGGTGGTATGTTGATCGCATTAAAAGTGTTTAAAACGTACCGTGGACAGCCAATCTTTCCGTTCGAACATTGTAAATAATATTTAAAAAAGAAAATATTAAATATCATTAAGGGGAATGAAATTCCAAAATGTCTACCTGGCACACATGATTGGGGTATTTCCTTGACTGTCCATTGCCGTGGGATCAGCACCATAAACAATCAACAATTCACATTGATAAACTTGACCGGCTTTTGATGCAACATGGAGAGGTCGGCTTCCTTTTTCCTATGAAAGACACATGATAAAAGACGGTTAATCTGTGAGAGTTCGAAGGAAAAGTGATAGAAGTTATGTTAAGCAAATAAGGAAGAACCTCTTCAATTGCTGGAATTCTTCAATAATTGAAACTTTCTCTTACTGAAAACTTTCCACAAGTTTCTTGAGGCCTTTCTGTGGTTTGGTGGTTCAGACTAAAAAATACCACATTTTATTCATAAGATTGCCATTTTTTGGGGAAGTTTTTGGGTGGAAAAGTATAATTGACTTGCGATACAAAAACGTCCCATGAATACTTTGTCTATTTAATTGCCCAGACTATAAAAGAATTGTTTTCTTAATAGCATTCAAAAGGCAGCCATTCAGGCTGTAATCTTGGATTGTAGATGACTACGGAAATTATGAAGGTAAAAACTTCAATTTTCTGATTCTCGACATGGAAACAAAAATATCCAGAAATCCTTCACACTTGGATAACTTGCAGCCACAGGGGAAGACCTCCATACTTGAACTATTTGATTCATGTGGGTCAAATGAGGACAAAAGAAAACAAGAACTTTACCTGGTGAAAATAATTTGGATTAGCTCCTTGTGCTAACAGCCTTAAACTTGTCTCCAAATTCATGGTCCGAACACTTGAATGTAGTTGCTGATTTAGATCTTCAATATCATCAGAGCTTCTAAGAACGAACATTAACTGTTGGTATTTAGCACGAATAAAGTCTTCTTTGTTGGGACTAAGAAGGAAAAAATTAAATTGATTAGACAGCAAGAAGCCACAACAAAAGATCCAAAATGGATCCAGACTTATACTTGACATTTCGACTTAAGTTCTAAAGCTGATCTCGATTTTAATGGTAATATTGTATAATTCAACTGGTAATCCGGGCACAAATGTTTATTTTTAGGATCCTGCGGATCTGTAAGTGACAGCAGTGTGAGAGGTATCTTTATCATTTCGTCTTGATGTCTAGAAAGAAAATATCGATGTTGTCGTTCTCAATTTTCGAAAGGACACCCCTGATCCAAGATGGCGGCGAAAATGAAATATAAAAAATCAACTCTTTTGGCCGACTGAGGTGTCGACTCTTCTGTATTTTTGGTCGTAGAATTCAAGTTTACTGTCCAAACATAACTTTGACCAGTTTTGAGATCCAAAATCGAAGACGGCGCGGCGGTCAAAGTCGGGATAAGGGACATTGGCTTTTCAAAGTGCCGAGTGAGGTGTCTAATCATACGTCTTTTGGGTCGTAAGGCCTTGTCTCGACGGCGCAACTGTTGAAGGAAGGAAGTGTCTCAAAAATGTTTCACTTATAAGTGAAACTTTCAAGGTCAGAAACCTGGAATCTCAACAGTTGTTTACCTTCGTGTTTTGAATTGATAAACGCTGGTTACACGTGAAGCGGGAATTTATTACGGGTGTTTTATTTCATTCGGAACGGTTATTATTTAGAAATATTTGTATACATTTCAGTATTAATTTTATATTTTCGTTTGTATCATGTCACTACAGCAGGCAAATAAAATTTTATCGAATATATTTTCTTTTTATCCATATCTGTGTTATGTTATTGTTTTTTGTTTTATACCTGGTCGAAATAACGCAAAATATTCACCTCCCGTTCATAATTATTAGTTCAGTTACCTCAATTGACATCGTTTAACCTAAAAAAAATTAATGTTGTTCAAATATTCCCGCCTAAAAGTTCCAGGAACACTTGCTTCTGCGTCGAGACAGGGAACTTCGGTTGGGGCAGCAAACTCGTAACAGTCTACCTGATTCCCTCAACAGTTGCGCCGTCGAGACAAGGCCTAAAAGCCGAAAATGAAGTTACATTGACCTTATCGGAGCATGGGGGGGGGGGGCGCTCCAGGCCCTAAAATGGCGGCGAAAATGTCCGACGCTGAAGGTCAAAAGGTTAGAGTGTAGCTTGCGCTTTCTGAAATTCCATTTGTTCAAACCTGTAGTAGAGTGTACCTTGGTGGCGGGCGGACGAAGTATGAAACATTTTCTACGTGCAGGCGGTCCGGCAGCAACATACCCACCACTAGTCACTGGAAAACAACAGAAAATAGTAGGTGCGTACGTTGCCAGCGAGCGCGCTGCGAGCGCTTCTGTTTCAATTTCTTAGCATTAAGACGAGCCTAGGGTGCGGCTTATTTTCGTCATGTCGGAAAATCGACGAGGTCCGGGTGGCAATCGATGATACCTATGAAAATAATAGGCTATATAAAATTTGAGCCAATTTGAAGCTTTTTCAGCTGATTCTTAAAGGGATCAAAACTAAGGGGCAAAATTACATTGGTTTAATTGGGCGGAAAAACGCCTGATCTGCGCAAATGCGTTTTTTGGATCTAAAATGCGCTTGAATAAAAAAAACCTGACCAACTCTTAGAGAGGCATCTAGGGGCCTATTTGAAACGAGAAAATCACACTTTTGACCCATGGGTGAGGGTAGGGGGATCACTCGAATGCAAGATATAATATATACACCAATTTCGTTCCAGGCTCGAGAAATAGTATGTGAGGTAACATTGTAAAGGGCCAAGTATAGTTCTCAAGGGCTAAAACAACTATTATACATTATTTCTCATCAAGTTGTGAGATAAATTTGCCTCTTCAACTTTGGAACACTTATTTTGAGTTCGATCAGAAGCGAATTCTTAGCTCCGGGCGCGGCGCCTCCAAACCGGCTACCCCGTGACCCCCCTGTCCCCACTCATGGGTCAAAAGTGTGATTTTCTCGTTTCAAATGGGCCCCTAGATGCCTCTCTAAGAGTTGGTCAGATTTTCTTCATTCAAGCGCATTTTAGATCCAAAAAACGCATTTGCGCAGATCAGGCGTTTTTCCGCCCATTTAAACCAATGTAATTTTGCCCCTTAGTTTTGATCCCTTTGAGCATCAGCTAAAAAAGCTTCAAATTGGCTCAAATTTTATACAGCCTATTATTGTCATAGATATCATCGATTGCCACCCGGACCTCGTCGATTTTCCGACATGACGAAAATAAGCCGCACCCTAAGACGAGCCTCTAACCTTCCATACTCTCTGATGTCTTGTCATTAAGTCGGGCCTCTAACCTTCCATACTCTCTGTTCGGGGGAAGGATCCTCTGAGTTTACCAGGATCCTACGCGAGGTAGCGCTGCGATCGCCTGGAGCGAATTTTATTTAAAGTTCCGAACCTCTTTTGGTTTTCGATAGGTCGAACCTTTTTTAGAACCACCTTGCGAGGTGGTACCGAAATCACGCACCAACGTTGCAATTCGCTAGTCACCGAATCGGAAGTTCCGAACTCAAATAGAATGGCAGCTCGGAGGTTCGGGCACAAAAGTAGGACCGAACCTCTAAATAAAATTCGCTTCGGGTCACAACAGTTAAAACCAAAGACAAGAAGACGGAGCGCTAAAAGCAAAAGATGAAGCTTCTTTTCAACCACCTCTACTATTGGCTAGAGGATTGGCGGCGAAATTGGGACAAGTTAGAAATTCAAATGTAGGGCGGGAACTGAATAAAATTGCGCAAACTAATTATTCTAGGTTGATTTTTGCCCAAATGCACTTACCCACATTTATTTTTTTAAGCTTTAGGTTATTTTTGGTCCGTCATCGACCAATTAATTTCATTTGGGAGTAACGGTCATTTACGACTGTAACGGTCTGTTTGAACCGGCAGGACCACCATAAGCAGAAGAAAAACTAGCTTTAGATCCTTGCTTGTTACCGAGCCAAAATAGGTGAATTATAAATATTAATCGTCCCAAGTTTTTTAGTATATTCGTTTTAGGCATTTAAAACACGTTTAGAAGAAGACATGAGGGAAAAATCAAGAGGATAAATTCAAATCAAAGAGTCGTATGCAAAAACGACAATTTTCGCCCCCCTCCCCCACTAAAACTTATTCAAACTTCGTCTATCAGTTACTAATATTGGAGCGCTCCTTCTCCCAAATTTTCAGACCCCCAAAAAATTTTGGGGGGGCGCTAGGGGGGGTGGAAGTCAAAACCTGTGAACCTCAATATCTTTCGAACGAAACAAGGTATTGAGGCCCGGTTTGGACAAAAAATCGACTAAAATTGCATACTTAAAGATTCTAAAGGTCAAAATCCCAAAATTAAATTTTTAACTTGACTTATGTGCTTTTTTTCAGTTTTTGAGGAAAAACAATTTCTTTTAAACACACTAAATTGAAAGAGCACAATTTTGTATTTGAGCCAAAACCAGTTTTTTAAAGTGCTCGTCTTTTTCCGCATCCAACGAGTGGTCATATAAGCTGGGGAACCGAACGGTTTCGGAAATATGATCGATTGAAGTTTCCGCTCAACGCGCGCCGACCGATTTTCGCGCGCAAAAAAGTCGGATTTGACTGTTATTAAATCAGATTGAATGTTCAAACTGAGCAAAATGCATTATTAGGGACTCTTGAGGGTCGCTGAGTTCAGATATTACAGATACTTCAAAAATATTCACGTTTTTAAAATTACAGCTCCGTACTGGACAACTGAGCGGCCGGTCGGCGCTCAGTGGGCCACTTAAATAGCGCTACGGAGCTGTAATTTTAAAAACGTGAATTTTTCTGAAGTTGATTTGGACTGTAAACTTGAATTCTACGACCAAAAAGACACACGACTCCTCAGTCGGCCAAAAGGGTTGATTTTTTATATTTCATCCCCACACGGGTCATTTTCGCCGCCATCTTGGATTAGGGGTGTCTTTTCGAAAATTGAGAACGACAACATCGATATTTCATTCTCGTTCGATCCTCCGAGCTGACTAGTGTGTAGTGCGTTTTTTCTCCGCTTCCCTATCTTCTCGGTTCTCGCTAGTTTTTTTTCTTCAGTTTTTCGTTTTTGAGTTTTTTTAGTTCCTATGTCTTCCAGTTAGTTTTCTTTTTTCCTCATTTTTCTAGTCATTTTCCTTGGTTATTTCGGTTTATCCTTTTCTAAGTTTTTTGTTAATCTAACTCCGTCCCATGTGGTAAGTCTTTTCTAACCTCTGTCTCCCGATGACAGCCATTTAATGTCTGATCCTCCAGTAGATCCAGGGGACCCCCCCTGGTATTAACTCTCAAATCCAATCTGCTTCTGACTCCACAATCATCGATCCTTTAGTTAATTCTGCCGAAAGTAGAAGAACGATTATTCTTAAGAATATTGATGATTTACTTTACCCTGATAACTCAACTGGCCCCTTTGTTATCTCCTTATCTTATGATGGTTTAGGTAACAAACATGCTACCCTTATAGGTGAAGCCCTTTATAGATGTAATATTGTTGGTATAATGTCCATCAAAAAGATTAACAAAAATTTAGTCAACATCGAATTCGTGAAACGCGACTATGCTAATAATCTGGTTTCCAATCACAAAACTATTCTCCCCTATGAAAATGCTAGGGTTTTCATTCCCCTAAATTATATTACTCGTAGATTAGTAATCAATGACGTACATACAGACCTCGGCATCGAATCTATAGGCAACTACCTAAAAGATAAATATTCTAATGTTATCTCAGTTCGACGTATCTTCCGAAGAAATGAGAAAGGTGTTTTAGCTCCTACCCCTAAACTTGAACTTCTATGGGAAGGTACTACCCCGACTTCTTCTACATCTTCTATTCTCGTTGCAAAGCTAGCCCCTACATCTACAACGTTACAACCTGTTCTAACTGTTTAAATTGTGGCCATCGTGCTGAATTTAAGGGTATCTTAACTTGTAAAGGTCTTAATCGATGCCCAA